TGGGAAAAGAGGTTGGAAATAAGTGATGACATGTTTCAAACTCTTCACATCAAGCAAAAAATCACTTTAAACACAGAAAGGAGAGGCTAGCAGTGCCCAAGAATTACAAGCATGGCATAGCACATACCTATTTTGCAACCCCAGTGCACCCACGGTTAGTCTAGGCTGCTGGGCGGCAGGCTCAGCCCCTGACCCCAGGCTTAGGCCTAAGTTTGCTTTTTTTTTTTTTTTTTTTTTTTTGACAGGCAGAGTGGACAGTGAGAGAGACAGAGAGAAAGGTCTTCCTTTGCCGTTGGTTCACCCTCCAGTGGCCGCCGCGGCCGGCGCACCGCGCTGATCCCAAGGCAGGAGCCAGGTACTTCTCCTGGTCTCCCATGGGGTGCAGGTCCCAAGCACTTGGGCCATCCTCCACTGCACTCCCTGGCCACAGCAGAGAGCTGGCCTGGAAGAGGGGCAACCGGGACAGAATCCGGCACCCCGACCAGGACTAGAACCCGGTGTCCTGGCGCCACAAGGCGGAGGATTAGCCTAGTGAGCCGCGGCGCCGGCCTTAAGTTTGCTTTTCAACAGTGAGCAGTACTTGTTAGATCTGTGAAACAGGTAGACAACAAATCCCAGATGAGCAAAGCTTGTAAGTCAAACTTATTGAAGGAAAGACGTTTTAACATCCTAGACAGCAGAGGAAGACTTCAGAAGCTGGCAACAAAGGGGATTAGGAATTCCCCACCCCTCAGAGCCAAAGCACAAAAGGCTTGCAGGGCAGGAGAGTGTATCTGTGGGAGCCCTCAAGCTACACCTGGTTTCTCATGCCAACCAGGCCATATCCACTGTCTGCGGCAAGCAGGAGAGCCTGGAGCCTGGTGCGGGGTGGGCTGGGTATGCCGTCCCTACAGCCGGATACCAGCAGTCTGCCCCAGGGGCACATGTGGTACACTTCACACTTCAGGGACCCGGGCAGAAGCTGGGCCATGCTTGGAGGGGCCAGAGCACGACTGTGTGGGTGGGATGCTCCAACAAGCAGAAACACTCTCCTGGAAGCCAGAGTAGAAAGCCTAGGACCAGTTCTTTTCAACGTCAGTGAATTAAATGAAGCTCACAGAGACAATAAGTATAACAAAAAAGATTATTATGAAAGTACACTCCATAAGAGAATGCATAGGAGTGGGCTAGTGAGTTAAAACTCAAGGCCCTGAATGTGGATTAGGGCTGTATTTTTATAGGGATGACTGTTGAGTGAGGGACAGCCCTTAGTATGGTTCTGAGGTCATCTGGCTTATAGGCTGTCTAGCTGTTATGTCTACATACTGCATCTAAGTGAAGGTTTTTTAAGCTTGCAGGTTTTTTTCCTCACCTTCCTCGATTAGCCCTTCTCTGTCTCCTGCCTCAAGGTCAAGGATAAGGACAGAAAGGCAGAGATGGAGAGAAGGAGAAACAGACTATGAAAAAGCACCTGCTGATAGGCTTAATGGGTTCTTGGATAGACACACTGAGAAAAATCCAGACACATCACATGCAAGCAGCAACCAGATTTCAAGAGACGTTTGAGTTCTTTTTTTTTTTTTTTTGACAGGCAGAGTGGACAGAGAGAGAGAGAGAGAGACAGAGAGAAAGGTCTTCCTTTACCGTTGGTTCACCCTTCAAAAGCCGCTGCGTCTGGCGCGCTGCAGCCGGTGCTCCGCTCTCATTTGAAGCCAGGAGTAGCCAGGTGCTTCTGGTCTCCCATGGGGTGCAGGGCCCAAGGACTTGGGCCATCCTCCACTGCACTCCCCAGCCACAGCAGAGAGCTGGACTGGAAGAGGAGCAACTGGGACAGAATCCGGCGCCCCGACTGGGACTAGAACCCGGGGTGCCGGCGTCGCAAGGCGGAGGATTAGCCTATTGAGCCGCAGCGCCGGCCTTTTATTTCTTTTTTAACATGGCTACAGTTAATGCACAGTAGTTGTTTTCTGCTCTGGTGTTTTTGTTTTTGTTTTTGTTTTTGTTTTTAAGATTTCTTTATTTTACTTGAAAGTGAGAGTTACACAGAGAAGGAGAGGCAGAGAGAGAGAGAGGTCTTCCATCCGATGGTCCACTCCTCAGTTGGCCGCAATGGCCCGAGCTGTGCCGATCCGGGTATCCCACACAGGTGCAGGGGCCCAAGGGCTTGGGCCATTTTTTACTGCTTTCCCAGGCCATAGCAGAGAGCTGGATAGGAAGTGGAACAGCTGGGACTCAAACCAGTGCCCATATGGGATGCCTGCACGCCACAGCGCTGGCCCTAGCTCTGCTGCTTTTTACTTCACTTAAAAGTAACCACAAATGATGTTACTGCCTATTTGAGAGGTTTTCAAAAGTTTTCTCAGGTTGTGTTCTAACTACCTGTTTTTCAAATTTTGCTCCAAGACCACACAAATGAGGACATAGAGGTTTACTCAGAGAGGCTAGGAAGTCAGCCACTGTTCTCTGTGTTTGATTGAGACTTAAAGCAGATGCAGAGTGAGAAGATTTATACATTTACAAGCATAGAGGAAAACTGGCTGGAGGACAATGAAAGGGGGGTCACTAACCAAATCCTGATGTCTTGGGCTTGTACCACTAAACTTGTGAGTCAGAATTTTATTTTCTTACGTGGTTGGCCTTTGTATAGTGGTTCTCTTGGTGCCTTTACATCTGTCTTCATGTTTGAATAGTCCCCCGACCATGACTTGATTAGTCCCGAGAAAGCAAATAGACCATTGCTTGCTAAGTTTTGATTTCATGCTGAGTTCCTTTCCTGGTAGAATTATGCCAACCATTTATACTCAAATTAGCAAGGATGATAGTGCAGGCTTGATGTTGTTTGAGACATTAAGCATTGCAAATATAACCAGAGGTAAGTCATAATCTGATTATTTAATTTTTCTATTTATTTTTTAAGTCTTTCCTTGGGGGCCAGCATTGTAGCAAAGCAGGTTAAGCCCCCAAATTCTCTACTTTCAATCCAGCTCCCTGCTAATGCACCTGGGAAAACAGCAGAAAATGCCCCAAGTACTTGGATCCCTGCCACCCATGTGGGAGACCCAGATGGAGTTCCAGGCTCCTGGCTTCAGCCTGGCTCAGCGCTGGCTATTGGGGGCATTTAGGGAGTGAACGAGTAGATGGAAAATCTCTCAGTTTTTCTATCTATGCCTTTCAAATAAATAAATCATAAAAAAAGAAAAGAAAAAACTTCCTTAAATCATATAGGATTGGCATTTTATCTTGGGGTTATAACTTTTAACTATATTTATTGAAAGGCAGAGATACAGAGTAGGAAAAACAGATCTTCCATCCACTGGTTCCCTCCCCAAATGCCCCCAACAGCCAGGGCTGAGCTAATCCAAAGCCAGGAGCTTGGAACTCAAACCAGGTGGCAGAGACCCAACTGCTGCTACTGTTGCCTTCCAGGGTGTGCATTAGCAGGAAGCTGGAATCGGAAGCAGAGTCTGGTCTTGAACAAAGGCACTCCAGTATGGGATGAAGCATTCCCAGCAGTGTCTTAACTGCTGCACCAAATGCCCACCCTACTTCTTGGGATGTTTTCTTATTTTGTCTTCCCTCCTTACAATTCAGGACCATCCTAGACCGCAGTTCATTGGATGTGTTCTTGTAGACTCTGTGCCAGAAACAGAGGTCGTGTTCTTGGTCCCATTTAGAGTTAGAGCAGGTTCTTTTATCATCGTAGTTGCATGCATAGGCAGTGTTACAGGTCCCTTCTTAACCATTGCTTCTTGGTCTGGCTTTCTTTAAACATCTGTCTGGAGATATAACTCACATACCATAAAGCGTGTGATTCTCCAGTCCCTTCAATTCCTCTTTCATCAACCACTCATCAGGTCTATGGACTTGCCCAATATGGAAATTTTATATAAATACAGTTGTAAATATGTGGTCTTCTATGTCCTGTTTTTTCCACATAAGATGTTTCCAAATTCATCTATGTAGTACTTTATTCCTTTAAAAAAAAAAAAAGGATTTATTTATTTGAAAGGCAAAGTTAACAGGAAGAGGGAGAGACAGAGAGATCTTCCATCCGCTGATTCATTCCCCAAATGGCATTGGCCAGGGCTTGACCAGGCAGAAACCAGGATCTTTAAACTCCATCCAGGTCTTCCACATGGGTGGCAGGGGCTATAGCACTTGGGCCATCTTCCACTGCCTTTCTAGGTTCATTAGCAGAGACCTGTATCAGAAGTAGAGCAACCAAGCCTTGAGCTGGCACTAATGGGATGCCAGCATCACAGATGGCAGCTCACCTACTGTGTCACATTGGCCAAATATTTCACTCTGGATAGACTATGTTTTGTTTATACAGATGTTCCCCAATTTACAGTGGTTTACAGTTACTGACTTTATTATAGTACAAGGGTGAAATGCATTCAGTGGAAACTCTTCCATGGGCTTGATTGGTTAAACATATTAAATGCATTTTTGCTTACAGTATTTTCAACTTAGCTGTAGATTGGTTGGGACGTAAGCCCCTGTGACACAAGGAGCATCTGTACATTCAGAACTGACAGACATTGGGTTGTTTGTACTTTCCACTTATGAATAATGCTGTGAAGATTCTTATGCAAGTTTTTTTTTAACATAAATTTTTTTATTTCCTTAGTTTGTGGAAAAACAGTATTGGGATATAAGTTTATTTTGCATGTAATTTTGAAATCCATACATAGTTTTTGCAAATATTTTCCATGATCTTTTTGAAGTACCTTCATAAATATGTTTTTGGGAATTCTTGGGTTGTCTGGTAACTGTATTTTACTTTTTGAGGAACTGCCAGACTGTTAGATGAAAATGTACCTGCAGCATTCCCAAACAGCATGAGTTTCAGTGGTCTGCATCCTCACATGCTGCCATCCATCTTTGATTATAGCTCCCCTAGTGGATGTGATGTGGTAGTTCACCGTGGTTTGGGTCTGCATTTTCCTGATGGGTAATGATCTTAAGCATCTTTTTATGTGCTGATTGGCCGTTTGTGTTGCTTTGCTTTTGATTTACAGAATGTTCTGAGACTCAGCTAGACTCTCAAATTGATCTTCCTGCTGAGAATCCCCTGACAAAGATCAAGGTTGTTGAGGTCCTCACACTGAACCAGGAAGTGGCTGGTCCCCGGAATGCCCAGATCCAGGCTCTCTATGCTGAAGACGGAGGCCTGAGCCCAGATGCCCTCAAGAAGCCAGGCAACCATCCAGCCGACCCAGAGACTGCTCACCAGAGGTTCCGGCAGTTCCGTTATGAGGAAGCATCTGGTCCCCAGGAGGCCCTGGCCCGGCTCCGAGAGCTGTGTCACCAGTGGCTGCAGCCTGAAGCACACTCCAAAGAGCAGATCCTTGAGCTACTGGTGCTGGAACAGTTTCTGGGTGCACTGCCAGGGAAGCTGCGGACGTGGGTGGAGTTGCAGCACCCAAAGGACTGCCAGGAGGTGGTGGCCCTGCTGGGTGATGTGACCTGGAGAGCCAACGAGGAAGGTTAGTGCAGTGGGAAGGTGGGGAGAGCGACAGCTCTGTGAAGACATCTTAAAGATCAGATCTCAGATCTCACTGAGGGGTGAGAACTCCAGGCTTCCTGGGAGGGTGGAGGAAGGGTTGTGCCCACTCCAGCCAGACCAAGGACATCTGCATCCCTCCCTGTTACCAAGTCAGAGCTAAAACCCCTGGGTAAGGCCCAGCTTGACATTCTTCATTGAGCCCTCCGTGGGCTTCTGGTAGATGCTCATGGATAAAGTGCTTTCTTTGTATCCCTTTGAGATCTCTGCCTTATCACAAGTTTTCTAGTGCTTGGTAGGGGCTTTGGATAAGTAGTAACTGACGCAGGACTCATGAGCTTGCCAAGCCTGTGGTTTAGTGGAGAGATGAGGGCCTGACAGATCAATGTGCACGTGAAAGTGCTGGGGTTGAGAAGCAGTCAAGGGTGTTGCAGGGCCTGTAGAGGCCAAGCTGCTGTGGCTGGCATCTGGCATGGATTAGACCTGGCCAAGCCGGGGCTTCTGATCCCCACAACAGTAAGAGAATAGGGTCACGTCACTTGGGGCACTGTGTGCAGCCGTCTGCTAGAATCTGCTGCCCTCAGTTGGCCTCATTCCTAGGGAGGTGGAATTTGTTTCCCAAATGTTCCCACAAAAGCCTCATTGGCTCTTATTGTCCATGTTCCCTCCATATCAAATAATTAAGGCCTGGTGGGCCAGCCTGAGTCATGTCATGTGACCCCCTGATAGTGGGAGGAGTCAGCATTATGGCAGCCTATGGACCACATGAGGACATCAGAGGAAGAAAAGATACGAAGGAGCTGTGGTCGGGAGGGATTGTGGGGCAGAAAAGGTTTGTGGTTTTCTAAGGTGGAGGAGACATCAAAATGGGGGTACATGTCCTGTGGTGAGGGGAAGTCCCACCCTCCAGGAGGCAGTGGGAGACAGCCCACCTGGCTAGGGGGAAGGGCTTGGAGTCCAGAAGTGGGCTTTACCTGTAAGGAGGCCTGAGGCCAACTGCCTGAGTGTGCAGTGAGGAAGGTTCCTTGGAGGAGGGGACAAAGGGTTTCAGCCATGGGAACACTGATTACCCATGCTGGTTTGTGCAGGGTGGTAGGACCAGGGCCCGTGCAGGTATGGAGATTCAGTCTCATGATGTGAGGAGGAGCCAGGAGTGGGAGGAGCTGAGCTGGTGAACAAAGAGGGCAAAACCAGGGACCAGCATAGGGTCCCAGCAGGATACAGGTAAGCCATGACCCTGGATTGCTGGGAGGGGCTGTCTCTGCTTTGCCTGAGGGAATTCTCACACCCACTAATCCCTTTACACTGATGTTTCCTCCCAGCACTGCCTGCCCCAGGATCTGTCTGCTCTCTTGAGGTCACTGCTGAACAGAAGGAGGAGAATACAGCCATAGTGGTGCTACTGCCTGAGGTGAGTGGAAAGCTCACGCTTCGCTCCCCTGGTCACACACTGTCTGTGAGGGGTATCTGTCACAGGATACTGTGCGGGCCAGCCACACCGGTCGAACGGAACCTAAGGGAGGGAGAGAGACTGAAAAGAGGGACAAGAGATCGCAGAGAATGGAGCCAAGACAACAAGGCTGATCAAGGCTCGTTTATTCCAATGTCTCGGTGGTATTTATACATAACCAGCACAAAGAAGCACAAAAGATAACAACATACGTAAGCAACTTATCGGGGCCTCCAGTGGCACAGATAATTTTAACAGAGCGTTCTTGATTAACATCCTCCTTCAGGATGGGAGTATGTGACTTTCTTATCCCAAGAACTCCACAAGCCAAGACTGGCCTTGATTTGTCCAAAGGCTGCCTACAGGATACCACAGGATAGCCCTTGCCCCTGGCCTTGCTGAGGCCTCCCACAAGGCAAGCCATTCCAAACTTTTGGGACCATGCTGGTGTCTCAAGCCACTCGAGTGTGAGGGGCAGCCCTGGCTGTGGCCACTCTGGTATCACTGGAGATCTAGAAAGAAGGCACAGTGACCTGGGAGTTCAGCAAGCACAGGCAAAAGCGAGGGGACCAAGTGTGTACAGAGACTTGAGAAGGGGAGCAATCTAGGCAGGGTGTGGGAACCACTTGAATCCTACTTTAAACAAGGGAGCCCTCGTCCTTCACGAACACCTGTCTATGAGTGAAGACGTAAGAGTCAGCGATTTGTTTCAGAACAGCCCGGAGCTGGGGTCTGGATCAAATCCTGTCTTGCCAGCCATTCAAATGAAGGTGTGTCCATGGTATTGCTCAGTGCTGTTTGCACCGTAGGTGTCTGAGCAAACCCCCAAAGCAGAGCAGCACTAGCTCAGCACCACTTTCTCAGTGTCCCTGCCAGCCTTTCTTCCTGCACCACTGGCAACCCCCTGACCTTGCTGCTGAACAGACACATGTGACATTACAGGAGCCGGTGACCTTCCAGGATGTGGCTGTGGACTTTAGCCAGGAGGAGTGGAGGATGCTGGACCCAACAGAGAGAACTGAATACCATGATGTGATGCTGGAAACGTTTGAGCACCTGGTCTCTGTGGGTAAGGAGCCTGCCACTCCACCTGCTGTGGTTGGTGGCCTCAGGGTCACAAGTAGGGGCTCTGGCCTTTTACTGGACTAGCACTAGGACTCGGATTGCCCTTAAGTGATCCTTGCTCTAAGACTTTTAACTGGAACTGTGGACCTGGAGAGGTGGGACAGGGGCAGCCACAGGTCCAGTGAAGGACTGATTTGCATCCACCTTGAGGGTATTTGAAAAACAGGAGCACAGGAAGCTACTTCTGAGAATACGCCTTGCCCCACCAAATCTCTTAATCGCCAGCTTTCCGTTTTTTGCTGCTTCACAACTTTGCTGTCTCTCCCTAGGTTGAATGATCACAGTTAAGGGGGGGGGGGGGGATCCCCTTTGAGTACTTAATTATATATATATAGTCCTAGCACTGTCTACAGTCTCTACACCTTTTGATTTATTTCAGGGTGGGAGACTACACTGGGAAACAAGCAGTTAATTCAAAAATCTGATATTCCTGAGGAAGAAGCAGGTCATGACCTCAAAGTGGAAGAATTCTCAAGAAATGACACTGGGTCCTCTACCCCAGAAGATGTCTTGCAGGATGGGGTCCCCGAAGTCCTAGACAGGGCATTGGAGCAAGTGGAATTCACTCAGGAGAAAGTCCTCCCTCAGGAACAGCACCGCGAAAGCCCTGAATCTCAGGTAGGCACAGATCTTGACATGAGCCAAGCTTCTCTCCAGAAAACTCCTCCTAGAAAACGTTTGCGCAAACGTGTCTCATGGGTTTCGAACATGACGAGTAATTCACAGAAGAGCTGTGAGAGGGAAAAGGCCAAGAAAAGCAGTGGTGCTAAGAAAACCAGCCAGAACGCTCAGCAGATTACATTTATAAGACTTCACAAAGGGAGCCAAATTTGCCGGTGCAGTGAATGTGGCAAAATGTTCCGGAATCCCAGATACTTTTCTGTACATAAAAAAATCCATACAGGAGAGAGGCCCTATGTGTGTCAGATCTGTGGGAAAGCGTTTGTTCAGAGCTCCTCCCTCACACAGCATCAGAGAATTCATAGTGGTGAAAGACCATTTGAATGTAAGGAGTGTGGAAGGACGTTCAATGATCGCTCAGCCATCTCGCAGCACCTGAGAACGCACACTGGAGCGAAGCCCTACCAGTGTAAGGACTGCGGAAAAGCCTTCCGGCAGAGCTCGCACCTCATCAGGCATCAGAGGACTCACACTGGAGAGCGCCCATATGTGTGCAGCAGGTGTGGAAAGGCCTTCACCCAAAGCTCACATCTCATTGGGCATCACAAAACGCACAGTAGGATGAAGTGGAAGAAGAAAGAGCGCACCTCATAGTCTCAAGCCAGCTTGATCGGACAGTGCAGTGCACAGGCCTGGTTGTGATTCAGGACTCAGTGGGAAAGGGAAGCACTGGAGGAGGACATTCCCAAGACCAAAGGACAAAACGAGGAGACCACCCAGCCCATGGGGAGTAAACAAGAAAACTGGGGAAATAGTAATACATCTATCAATAGGAGCAAAAGTTTTAATTTCTTAATTAAGTTGTTATTTGTTTGCTCATTCATTTGATCATTAAAAATGATATTACTGAAATATGAAAACGCTAATAATTTTAAGAAGCCAGATACCAAGTTATCTGTGCCCTGATGGTTATATCTGTGGTAAAGTATTTATTATAGATGGATAAGGACTAAAAAAGAATGTAGGGCCGGTGCTGTGACTTGCAGTGCCAGCATCCCATATGGGTGCCAGTTCAAGTCCCAGCTGCTCCAATTCTGAACCAGCTCTCTGCTGTGGCCTGGGAAAGCAGTAGAAGATGGCCCAAGTCCTTGGGCCCCGCACCTACATGGGAGACCAGAAGAAGCTCCTGGCTCCTGGCTTTGGATCAGCACAGCTCCGGCCATTGTGGATATCTGTCTGCCTCTGCCTTTCAAATAAATAAATAAATCTTTAAAAAAAAAGAATATAGAAAATAAAAGTATATATTTTGGTGTAGAATTTGTGTCCAGCCTATTTAATTAAGTATCTTTACATTAATGATTTGCAATTTAAAAGAAAGGGAAGGGACAGGCATTTGGCCCAAGGTTAAAATAGTGAGTTGAAATGCCCAGGTTCCATTCTTAACTCTAGTGGTCATACAGATGAAGACCCTGAGAAGCGGTGGTCATGGCTCAAATATTTTGGTTCTCTCATGGAAACCTGGATTGAGTTCTTGTTTCCTGACACAGCCTTGGCCAAGCCCTGGGATTGAACTAGCAGGTGGAGTTCTCCATCTCCCACTCTCTATAAATAACAAAAAGAAGATGGTGAGTACTACCAGAATCTCTGCATGGCTGTAGCACCCTGGGCCCAAGATTCCACATGAGTTGGGATGAGTGCATCATTCTCAGGCATCATCATAAAAGTTCAGGGAGGGGAAACCTTGAAGAATCATTGGAGGCCCAGAGGACTGAAAACCTCAGGCCAATGTGGCAGCCTCCTGGCAATCTTCATTCACTCTGTGTTTGATGAGGGACTCCGAGAAGAGGGAGCTGCCCTGGCTAATTGCCTGTCACCATATTAAGCAGTAAGACACTGGCAGTATTTTGCAGTGTGTCACATTTCACATACAATGAAAGACAGATTCTCCAGGTTACATAGCCTGTATCACACAACTCATTCCTCATTTGTTGAGTTCTACATAACACTTAAATACAGTAAAAAGTATATACAGTATACACCTACTTAGGTTTAACAGACATTGTCTTAGTGCTACCTCGCATGGCCTCGTCAAAGCCTATGGGGTCATGCCAACAAGGGCAGGTGCAGTCATACCTTCCTGGATGAGTTCTTCCTTTCTCTAAAGCAGCAAATAAGCCTTGGAGACAGGACCAGATTAGATGCCATGTGTGTACCTGGAGAATGACACTGGGGTGCCAGCAGCCGTATTGCCTTTCACACACCAGGGATACAGCTTGTGTCCGCTATGTAGATTTTAAGCATTTGAACAACTTGATTTGATCTGTTAACTTCTTATAAATGAGAACAGCTGGAGTTAAAGAAGTTGACCAGGGATGTATTGGCAGGTTAAAGCCTAGTCGAGCTGTTCAGAGCTCGACAATATTTCCTTAAGAATGAATTAAAGAGGTGGGTGTTGTGGTTAAGCTATTGCTTGAGATGTTGGCTAGCTATCCCATATGGGAGTGTCTGGCATGGATTAAGAGCAAGACTGTGAGGCTGCCACTGGTGTAGCAGGTAGAGCCACTTCCTGCAGTGCCAGCATTCCATATGGGCACTAGTTCAAGTCCCAGCTGCTCCACTTCAGATCCAGCTCTCTATGGCCTGGGAAAGCAGTGGAAAATGGCCCAAATCCTTGGGCCCCTGCACCTGCATGGGAGACCCAGAAGAGGCTCCTGGCTCCTGGTTTCGAATCAGCCCAGCTGCAGCCATTGCAGCCATTTGAGGAGTGAACCAGCAGATCAAAGACTCTCTCTCTCTCTCTCTCTCCCCCCCCCCATACCTTTGTTTCTCTCCATAACTCTGCCTTTCAAATAAATTTTTAAAATAAAAAGTAAGGGGGCTGGCGCTATGGTGTAGCAGATAAAGTTGCCGCCTGCAGTGCCAGCATCCCATATGGGCGCCAGTTTGAGACCTGGCTGTTCCACTTCCGATCCAGCTATGGCCTGGGAAAGCAGTAAAAGATGGCCCAAGTCCTTGGCCTCCCACACTGCGTGGAAGATCTGGAAGAAGCTCCTGGCTCCTGGTTTCGGATCGGCACAGCTCCAGCTGTTGAGGCCATTTGAGGAGTGAACCAGCAGATGGAAGACTCACTCTCTTTCTCTTTCTCTCTCTCTCTCTGCCTCTCCTTCTCTCTGTAATTTCTGATTTTCAAATAAATAAATATATTTTTTAAAAATGCAAAGGAAGACTTTGCTTTCTATAGCTTAAAGCACTCCAGCTTATTCTAGTAATGAGCTGGGAACCATGGAAAAACCCAAAATATGTTTATCACATCACTGTGTGTGTGTGTGTGTGTGTGTGTGTGAGAAAAGCACTATTTACAGGATTTTAGTGCTTGCCATCACCAGATGAGAAGTTAAGAAGCAGCCTTTCTGTGGAGAATAAGAATAATTGTGTACAAAGTAGAGAAATACCCAATGATGTGACAACCTTTGTGTAGTAAAAATGTGTTTAAAGTTAAAAAAAAAAAAGTACTATTTAGGGAAAACCTGTGGAAAGGGTGTTTGAGATATTCTAAGGCATTCTCACTTTTTTTTTTTTAAACTTTTATTTAATAAATATAAATTTCCAAAGTACGACTTATGGATTACAATGGCTTCCCCCCCATACCGTCCTTCCCACCCACAACCCTCCCCTTTCCCACTCCCTCTCCCCTTCCATTCACATCAAGATTCATTTTCGATTATCTTAATATACAGAAGATCAGCTTAGTATACATTAAGTATGGATTTCAACAGTTTGCTCCCACACAGAAACATAAAGTGAAAAATAATAGATGATTTTTTTTAAATGATGATGAAATTAGAGCAGACCTATTGTCATGTTTAATCCCAGTG